TTCAGCCGACTTTTTACTGAAAGTCCCGATTCGGCTCAAAATAATGGAATTTGAGTTGTAGGCAATTTTAGCTTCCTCAGCCTCTCCTACAACTATTTCATGGCATAACAACCCCTAAAAGCCTTATTTCTTCCTATACCGGGCATGTTTGTCATCATTATTTCCTCATAAAATCAATGTTTTATTTTTCTTTATAGTCCGTTTTCTCAAAACGTGATTTTCCTCTATACATATTTTAAATAACTACATCAATCTTCATGAAATTTGCACAGAAAGAAGAGAAGACGTAATACTAAAAATTTATCTTTTGAAATTTTGATATATCTGTCTGCCCCGCTCAAAATCAGTCGTAAGACGCAATGTGCTAATAATAATATCAGCCACGAGGCTTGAAAGGCAAAAAGTGACTTTCCATGAAATTTTTTTTGGGGGGGATATTTTGAAAGTTTGATGTCTTCTGCTTCACTTAAGATAAAAATAAACAACTATAATCGACTACAAATATTTTTTAAAAATTATTTTGGAGGTCTGTGAGTTTTTTTGTTGTTTTTTTAGCTTGGGTGACGAGATAAAGGAATTTGGACCTTTCAGGAGTGTAGCTGTGAGATTATTTTCAGAACTATTACCTCATGGTCCCCTTTGCTTCAACCAAAGATTCTCAACTAGGGGAAAATCTTTGCTCCAACGTTCTTCATTCGCAACTATTTTTAGATTTTGATCCCTTTTCGAGCATGAATGGTCTGAAATGTAAACAACTTTGTTTGGTAAAACGGAGTAAAAATCGTAACTTCTAGCTCACTTCAAGCTTGTTTACGTAAACAGCTAACTGTGTGGGCGTGCCCTGAGGGCTGTTATCGTCTGTTGATATTTCAGTTTTACACTTGGATTGAATTTAAAATTTCGTTTTTATTGTGTTTTAGAGCTTTTAAAAGATTAATTAACCTTCCTCTAGATCTCTCAGAGCGGACTCCTTACCAAGAGGCCACCGAGGCGGTCTGTGTGCATGTGTGTGTTTGTGTGTTGGTGTATTTGTTCGTGTGTGTGTGTGTGTATGTGTACATGTGTGTGTGTGTGTGTGTGTGTGTGTGTGTGTGTGTGTGTGTGTGTGTGCTCTCGTGTGTTTATGGTGTTATTGCAAACGTAAAATCAGGTAGCGTAAACATGGCACGTAAGCTGACTCGCAGCCTTCAGAGCGCGTGGTTTCAGTGAAATGGGGGTAATTCAGATCTCTGTTTCTTTGCTCTTTTCAATAAAACACCAAATTCTGAACACTTAAAAAAAATTATGGTTTTTTTTCGTTATAATAGTGTCAGTTGTTTGTATATTCGGGTATTTGGAGCTGGAGAATCGCCGTGGAAAGGGAAGCCCCTCGGGGTCGGAATGCGAGGTCCCCCGGTTCAAAATTAAAACCCATGCATTCGAATGCTTTGCTGAAAGATTGATGATTAAATACCGTCTTTTCATTGGCGGAGAAATATACAGCTTTGAGCGTGGTTTCCCGGGGTTATTATTTTTGGCCTTTGGAGTTTAGGTAGTAAACTTTGGAAAAAAGCGTCTAAGTTTTCAAAGATCATTTTTAACACAAAATATGTAAAATACAGGCTAAAAAAGGGTATCAATAGAAAGAACAGTTCTTTTTCTCTTAGAATAAAGTCATCGACTTGGAATTATATTTTTTGCTTGAATCCTTCCTCGAAACTACCGGGAGCACTCAGTATAATACCATGTTGAGGCGGCTCGCTCGCCTCGAAGGTTGGTGCGACGCGGCTCAACTTTGGAGGCCATTTTTTCCTTTTCGTGTTACCTCACCTCGCAAAATTAAAAGTTCTGTATTTTCGTCAAATATGGTCATATTCACTTTATTCGTTTTTTAAATTGTAGGAAAAAGCCAAAGGTTTTTGAAAATAATGTTAACTCAGTTTTGAAATGTCCTCCCTATGTCTGATATTGACTGGCAGGGACACATAAGGAATATATTTTTGTTCGTGGGGTCTGGAGTGTGGATTTTCAAAGATTTTTTGCAAACTTGAATATTACCTTAGGAAAAAATTCACTATTTTTTTAGTTCTAATGTTTGCTCACCTGCAAGCAAAAAAACACCCAATCATTTTCCATGAGCGATAAGTTCGGTATTCATTACTTACGACATGTCAACAGAATCCAATATGGCCGCCGTATCCATGGAAACGAAATTTTTTTCTCAAATTTGATTGTGGATTTTACATACTCCTTACTATGCTTGCTATATCTCTGAAATATGGTAAACTTTGGTTCACTAATAGTAATAAGCGAGATATCCTTCAGGTGTAGCGCCCCCTCCCCCTCTTAAGGGGGGGGGCTACACCCCCAAAATCTAAATTCGGCTCATTATCATGGAATTTGAGTTGTAGGGTGGGTTTTCACGGATTTTTCGCAAACGTAAATGCTACCTCAGGAAAAAATTCATTAAAAATTTTCTAATTCGATTAGGATAAAAACAACAAACAAATTTTTAGATCTAATATTTGTAAACACGCATGCAAAAAAACAATCAATTTCCATGAGCGATAAGTGC